TACAATCCGGAAACTGCAAAGGTATGTTTGTGAATGAGTTAGTTGATAAAATTAGCACATTGATGTTTGCTGATGGCATTGTGAATGCAAGTGACGCTATTGTCAAATTGCAGAAATCAGATGTAGCAAGCTTTTGTGGCAAATATGTTATGAATGTAAATTTAGATGAAACAATTATGATTGTATTTTGCAGAGGAGGACTTTTCAAACAAATTGAAAAATGGTGGTTCAAAGGTGAAATACTTTAAATTGTATCAGCATGCAAGTGCTTGTGGATATTTGACACCCCAAAGTCTTCATGGGGTTTGGTTAGAAATACATTAGCACAACAACCTGTAAAGCCATGAATATTTTGCTCACATTTATATATAATGCAAACATATCTTTAAGAGTTGTGTTTATTGTTGACAGAATGATTGTGCCAGTCATTGGTTATGGACCAGGTATGTGGGGTTATTCACAAGTTCAGACAGTTTAAAGTGTACACATGAGATCATTGTCTGTTAACACAAGTACAAATAACGCGGTTGTTATAGTACAAGGATGTTTGTGGATTATGCACACAAAGTAAGCATATTTATGTAGAAATGTTTATAGATTGTGGATCAATTTTTAGCGATAAACATGTAACCGTACTTTGGGCTGAATTCTGACTGCAAACTTAAACTTGAAAGTACAACTGGAATGTGTGAGAAATGTTCAAATATAACAACTTTATTGTGTTTTAACAATTGAAATGATGAATATATGTACATAACACTGTACCCATGAAGGGCCATGATATTACATACCGGGTAACGGTAATGAAAAAATACCATTGAATACATAATGAAAAAATACCATTGAATGTCTCACATTTGTTTGTTGATCTGTGCTTAGGATCTCTCTCTCTCTTACCACTTTAACAATGAATGCAATAGTACAGCACCATCACACGGTTGTCAGACAGATTTCTGTCATGTTATTTCATTGCAAAGGAGCTCCACCACATTCCCAAGGTCAGTGTTCGAAATAGACATCGGTCCCTACACCCATAGATGACAGATTTGTTCAAAGATGTTTTACCAGCTGATAATTTCCTTGATAAATGTATCACCATCTATAACCACTGAGTCTCTGGGAACTCGGTGTGATAGCAGTCATAGCTTCTGGATGACTGGTTGTATTTTGTAATTTTATATTGCAAGAGTATATCTCACTGCTTCAGCTAACATGTTTGGGCCTACAGTTTCTCCATTAGGCCTACCCCTTATTCCAATATACTTCAGGGTTACAAGTGATATAAAAGAATCAAACAGTGTCAAAAGCTTCAGAAAAGTACACAAAAAGACAGTGGTATATGCATATATATTGAACTGGTTGGGTCTGAATACAGTATCATGGTGTAAATCATGGTGTAACATTTATACTAAGTTTTCCTATAATAATTAGATCCACATCAAGTGCTTTTATGAGTTACCATGGTGTAATATTTATATATGCATTTTACCTGATGATAAGTATTATTTGCTAAACTATTATATGAAATGATGTATAAATATTACACCATGGTAACTCATAAAGCACTTGATGTGGATCTAATTATTATAGGATAACTTAGTATAAATGTTACACCATGATTTACACCATGATAACAGCCTGGGCCTTGTCAATTATGTTATAATCTTCATCAAACTGCTGTAGTCTACAGCTAAGAATAGAAGTAAGTACTTTACACATGGTGTCAATCAGGGATATACCTAGCGGTACTCATTTGTATCATTCTCATCACCAGATTTTAATAGTTGAAAAGAAGAAATTTATATTCCTTAACTGTGAAAAGTCACTGCTTTCAAATAATTTTTGAAAAGTGAGGCAAAAGTAAGTTTCAGAAGACTCTTAGTACTTTTTAGATACACAGTCTTCACATGGATGTATTAATCCCCAAAAGGATGTCTGTTCATGAATCTTAACAAATGCAGTGAGTAGCAATGTAAGGCTTGAGGAAAGACTCAAAGAATAATGAGAGTCTGGGAATCAAACTTCCTGTACAGTATTCCTCATCGAGTGATATTTTCTGAACAAAGAAGTCTTTGAACGTACAAACAGCAAATAAGCAGTATTTTCGCTTTGATAGATACATCTGACCCTGCACCTGAAAGTAGTAATTACTGTTTTCTTTCAGTTGCATGAGGCCATTTCTCTTACAAAGATAAGGAAAGAGTTTCCCAGGAGCAATGACCTCATTTCTGGCACTGTAAGGACATTTAACCTCAACAATGGTGTTAGAATCATTGACACCGTCTGGGGTTGCTGCAAGGAAAGGGAGTTCAGAGTCAACAAACATTCCACAACTATGAACATGAACATTACAGGCTAACTCAAGTTTGGCAATAGCTTTGGGTTCCTGCTGTAACCCATGCCTCACAGAGTTACAAACAAGTTTTCTTCCAGAGACAATTTGTTCACATAATTTAGTTTTGTTTCTCCTTGTAGTACATTTGCAAATTGTCCCAAACTGAGATGCTGTCAACCTCCATCTCCTCTCTTCATGACACAAGCTACACTTGGCCTGTTTTCTTGTCTTTGACTCTAAGTCTGCAGCCTGGTCATCTGTAATCTGTCAAAGGTAGACAGAATAAAAATAAATTATATCACACAAAAACTTATCAATAAAATTCTTGAAACTCCTTTACAAATCAGAACAAAACAATTCAATCAGATAACATGGCTAAAGCAGTTTAACCATATCGTATCTAGCTCCAAGGGACCAGAAGAAATCCATTTGCATGCAGTTCAACCTAACCATCAACTACTACACTGCAACGTCTGAAGATATTGTGTCTTCTGCAGTAAAAAATGAACTAACCATGAAATGAATAATAGCAGGCATTTTAAAAAAAAAAAGTGAATTATTTATTTGAATGCAATAAGCAGTAGCTATTGAAAGCCTAAAATATAATAACTTAATATTTAAGGATTGACTGTGGTTTTTTTTCGGTTCATTGAGGTATGAATCGAAAAACCGATGTGCAAACTGTATGAATCCGCGTAGCGTACAGTCAATGCTTATAATTAAATTCGACAACGTAAAACATGTTTTATTTACAATAGTTTAACCCAAAACAGTTGCATATAACAAAACAGACAAAAATGACGACATTGATAAACATTCCAGGTGTAGGAATACATACAGTGGCGTGACATGAATCAGGTGATCGTTTAATTTATGCACATAACTTGACACGCCTACACAGTCAGTAGCCAATCAATGGAGAGTGGGATTAAAACAATTTTCATTGGACCTGTCAATTAAGGCAAGAGGCGAAAAGAACTGCTCCCTTGCTAAGCTCCCTTAGTTCTCCTCCCCAATCCCATCGGCATCTATTCCAAATCTCAAAATTCCCAAATTCTATATAAGCAACCCCTAAAACCCCCCTCTTGGGTTGCACAGACCACTTTCGCCCCTTTCGGAAACACATTAAATGGCCTGGCCGGGCCCGTGTGCGAAATACGCACCAGTCGGAAAGCGCACGTTAAATCTCCAAAGTAAGTAAGTAAGTAAGAACTGCAACAGTCAGACTGTAACGAACCGGAAGAAATATGTCCGAGAGAAGGCGGCTGTTTCAAATAACATGGTCATTTACTGCGTGATTCAAACATTACTTCCCTGATTACGGTAAAACACAGTTTGAGAAATGCTAGTTAGAAATGAAACCCGAAGACATGAAAGTTGAACCGAGGCGAGCGGGAAATAAACAGGCGAGCGAGCCTGCACGTTTGCTGTTTCATTCATTCTCGCCCTTCGGTTTCAAAGGGTAGTTTGGACAATGAATATGCATGAAAGTCGCTAAATGTCCTGTGCATGACGATATACGTGAGCAGAAAGGGAATTCCCTCGACTGTTATATTGGGATTCCCCGTCATTCCGCAGTAATAAAAGTAGTGCGCCGCGGTGGGCGTGGCTTAATTTTTTACATTCATTGGGAAATGAATACAATAACACGTGACCAATTCAGCCAATCAGAATGCAGGAATTTCCATGAACACAACGAAAATTTAATTATAGTGATTTGTGAGAATGCATAGAACTCAGGATTGAAGATTTCTTCATTACGGAAAACATGAGTGTAAAATACCTTCAAGGCTCTCTGCACCCAGTATTCTGTGAAGGGCTTGTCCAAATAGTCATGATCTCTTACTGCAGATGACAGACTGGCTCTTTCAAACAGGTATCGGATCGTGATATCCTTAGATGCTGAAGAGCAGTAGTTGATGGTGATGTTTCGCACATGGTCCCTGTAAGATGCACTATTTCTGTATTTTGCCGGTCTTGGGTCATCAAACATGGTTGGTCGCTTCGCCCCACACTTGAATGAATCTGCTTTCTTCGGTGAATCGGCAAAAAAAAAAAAGAGGAATAATTTTTTGGCTGAAAATATATTACTAATACTGGGATACTTCAGTATATAATATTTGAATTTAGAAACAGCAAATAAGCAGTATTTTCTCTTTGATAAATACAGGAAGTGAAATTGACATAATTTCAGACAATTCATAATTTGGGGTATATGCCAAACCTGTCACGGGGGAAACAATTGAAAGGGTGATCACACACTGCAGAAATAGCTTGTGAGGCTTTTAAGTAGTTATGGCTAAGCTATACGAGCAATGCCTACTGAATACATTAGCAGAAAGATCAGCTTCATATGTCATGGAATAATTAATCACTCTGTATATTTAATTCTAACAAATATGAAAATATAACCAAGGGGGACTTCATTTATTTTAATGTCTGCAGCTGAACAGAATATCTTTTTTTTCAAACCATATAAAAATTTCCTCATTTTAAGAAAACAATTGACACAAAAAAACCTTGATAATTAATTCATTCTAACATGCTGTATAAGCACTTTGTATACCAATATATTTACTACACAGTAAACATGGTAAGGTACCTGAATATTCCTTTTGTGACCTGTGGAATGTCTGCAGTTTGTCTGTGCACGATCTCCTCACAGCAATCACACCTGTAGACTTGAACTGTGACAACATGAGGAGGACGGAAGCGAGGTGTTTGCAGGTTCCATGGGGGCCTTTACCAGCTGGGCACTCACAGTGTGTGTTCACCACTTCACCACATTCTGCTATTATGATGCGAAGACTGTAAGATACCTAAGTCAAGGAAATCAAAACTTGTAATACAGAGTTATCTTAGTATCATCATGATAACATATAATGAATTATTCCTGCAAGTGACAATGTTTGGTATAACTGACACATTATTTACACAAAGGTGAACTATTTCTTATTACAGACCTAATGTACAATCATGAATGGCAAAACTGTGAATGATTACTCACTAATTTAAAATCATTAATCACTGACAATTCAATATGTGGTTGAGAATGGAACTTATGACCAATCTGTTTCTAAGGTAACAAACCTTTTTCTTCATAGCAGCACTGACTAGACCACTGAAGTAGGCATGGTGATGAATGACAACACTGCAAGCCAGGACATGATTGGATTTCAAAAGTTGATGTCCCTTCTCAATAGCCTTCAAATCTCCAGTCTGAAAGCAAATAATTTCATTTTGCTAATTTCAGTATCTCATTTATTGAAAAGATTTCTCATGTATGTTTCACAGGATATGTATTATCAAACACACCTGTTAATGTTAGTGTTACTATTGGTAATAATTTCAATAAATTTGAGTAACGCATAGAAATATATTGCACACTTACCTCTTCATTATCTACAGCTAACCGGTACCTAAAATATGCCTCGACATCCGAAGATTTTCTGATTTGATATGGAAATTGAGTTCACATGACAAATTGAAAACTAATATGAAATAAGAAACAACACATCAAGTAACAAATTGGATTTTAATTGTATTATTTCTTGCAATGTACAATGATTATGAAGCATTGAATGTGGTCTGTATGACATGTTCATGAATAACAATAATCATCATGTTGCCAATTACCATTTGTGTTAATTTAAATGAAATTTACATTTCATTCAGATGAGGGAACCTATTTCCATTCCCAGCAGAGCAGCAGCCATCAATGATGCTGATACTGACACCAACACTGAATGCACAGGCAACACGGAGTGCACCACAGACTCCACTGACAATTGCTGCAGTCAAGTGGTTAGTGTTTTCAATATTAAGATTAAGTTACAGAGTGAGTGATTTGTAAATACTTATATCTGTACATATAATATATACTTATTAAAGATTCAAACAATATATGTCAAGTTGAAAACAACTATTTAGCCTTGACAATACAAAACTCTGACCTGAAATATGTGCCAGAGTATTCAAGCTGAACTTGGAAGTTTTACGATACATGTTTAACTAAACGATCAAAAGTGAGTGAGATTGATTTACTTTAATGTACAACACAAACTGCATTTTCTGTATTTGCAGAATTCTTGGCGCCTTGTGAGTGCAGGAAGCGTGTCAAAAAGGCGAAGGTCAACAGAAGGTTCAGACATGGAAAGTCTTATACATAAGACCTTGAGTTTAATCGATCAAAAGAACAGGAAAAAGAATGACTTTTTAATGATCCTGATTTACTTTTTGGACAGCAAGTTGGGTTGGAAATAAAGAGAGTAGAAAACTTGAGAAGGAGACAAGAACTAAAATTAAGAATTCAAACCCTAATAATGGAGTATCAGTTTGAAAATGAGGCATAGCAATAACATTTTAAAGTACTTACCTTGCATGTTCAATAAATAATTTTGTCTTTTGATTGATTAGTAGTCTGCCCCGATTCACAAATCTTTATGTTTAGCAAGTCTAGATTCACTATAAATCTGAAAGTTCTTCAAGGCTCCTTCTATAATAAATAATTTACTCCTTCAAATACAAATAAAAATGAAAGAAACATAATTCACAAAGTTATCCAGTTTTTATAAATCTGTTCATTTTCAGATAACTGAAATATAACCTTGTCACAAGTTGTGTTTCAAATATAAATGTTCATTTTTCTATGTGAAAGGGGTAAACACTAAACAGCAAATATTGATGTATTGTCAGTTTGAAAATGAGGCACAATTATTCTGAACATGATTAGTCCAATGCAAATACATATTTCATCATTACATCATGTGTGAGGTATATGACTCGCATACAATGGAAGTTATCTTTCATCAATTATTTGACATGTTAGGAATTTAGTACTGCGATCTGTTATTAATTCCTTATATGGAATGTGTATCCATGATGTATAAAGTGGTTTTGAATTCTTATGTTTTCCCTCGGTTCTTACACTTTCACAAAAAAATTATGCATTTATTTTGTAATGCACATCACCTTCTGGTTAATGAAAATAAAATAACTGTTATTTTCTCAAATAAATTGTACTTTGTTTTTGACAAAAGTATTGATTGCTTGAAATTCTTATACATGCCATCATAGTGGCTATTCAAACAATGTATGTCAAGTAGAAAACTAATATTTAGCCTTGACAAAACAAACCTCTCAGCTGAAATGTGTGCCAGAGCTTTGTGGCCCAATTTACATTTCACCTAAATTACTTCATCCTCCACATGTTTACACAACCATATCCCACTGCCATTCAACTTGACCTTCTGTCATAAAATAATCAGCCAGTTCATCTCGTACTTCGCTTGCATTGCTTGCATTTCTGTTCCCACCCTGCTGCATGAAACCTCGCACAACACCTTGATCATTAGCTGCATCATGCTGGTTGTTATAGATAGGATCAGAGTTAGATTTAAGAAAGTTATGTAAAGCAATGCTTGCCAAGACAACAGAACTGGCTACTTCTGGTGACACTTGTAGTGGTTTTTGAAATACACAGAATCTGCTGACAAGAAAACCAAAAGCATTTTCAGATACTCTCCTTGCCCTTGATAGCCTGTAATTAAAGATTTTTTTCTCATAAGATAAATCCCTCAAGGGATAAGGCTTCATCAAGTGAGGCTTTAGTTGGAAGGCATCATCTCCCACAACAACGCTGGGAACTAATTCATGACGGCCCTCCAAGGTGGTGGGTGCTGGAATGTTTAGGGTGTTATGCTGTAGTGCATGGCAAAGCTGAGAATTAGCATAAACAGCTGCATCTCCAGCTCTGCCATTGGCTCCTACATCTACAAATATAAATTTGCAATTTGCATCAACCAATGCCAAAAGAATTATGCTAAAAAACTTTTTGTAGTTGTAAAGTTCAGAACCTGAATTGCTTAGGGCCCTAATTGCAATATGCTTCCCATCAATTGCACCAATGCAGTGGGGGAACTGCCACTTTGCCATAAAATCGTTCTGTATTTTCTGCCAGTCATGTTCAGTAGTGGGAACCTGAAAATATATATTACCATAATCTGAGTCTTGCTCAACTCATTTAATCATATATAAAGTTCAAAATTGAGAAGATAACGAGACAAGAACTGAAAATTTTGAAATTCCAGGCATTTATTTATAAATATCAGTCTTTTCAACAAATTTTAAGTATTTACTTACACTTTGGATTAAGAGGTATTACCTATTTATATAAAAAAAAATTAAGTACCTGCACAAAGTCTTTTTGAAGTACATCATAGATAGCTTGACAGACCTCAGGAACAAAGTTGCAGATTGTATTCCTTGGCACCCGGTACAGAAACTCAAGTGAACTGTAACTGTCTCCTGCCAAGGCCAGAATGTAAAATCAGGAGAAATTCCCAAGATAGAATTCTTTCCTTTTCATCAACATTTTGATAATTTATAAATATACTGAAAAATGAGTTGGTGAAAAAGCATTTGGTTATGAAATATTTCAGTTTGCTGAAATAACTTAGGCACTTATTGTACTCATTATAATACTCTCAATCCAGATGTGCAATAAAGCAACTGATTTTATGAAGCTTCGTTTTATCCAAAAGATACACTGATTATTTCCCCTTATAATTGATGCAGAGTGCTCTTTTCTTAGTTCAAGGTGGTCAATACACGGAAGTGGAAACTGTCGTATCTTTTGACAATATTATGCACTGATACGTAATTAGGACCTCACAGTATAGTTTACTTTCTTCGCGAAAAGAGACGACAGTAACCGTGCTTCATTTACACACCACCTAACTTACTGCTAGCCAAATATCGTAAGGTGAGTGCCAGTTTCTCTCCTGCGGGAATACTATTTCTCATGGGAGTACATTTCTTCTGGATAAACGGCGAAACTTTCTCCAACATGTGAAAAAGTTCGAATCGCTGATGTATTTATAGTTCGGCCTCAAGTCATGATTTTTGATGCAATTGCGTCAAGTTTTTTTTATGAGGGTCGACCATGTAAGAATGCATCCACACACCAAATATTTTTTATTCTGAGACTAATACTTTTGAGAATAGCTCTCATGGCGTAAAAGTCATGTATGTGGAAAAGATCGAATCGCTGATGTATTTATAGTTCGGCCTCAAGTCATGATTTTTGATGCAATTGCGTCAAGTTTTTTTATGAGGGTCGACCATGTAAGAATGCATCCACACACCAAATATTTTTATTCTGAGACTAATACTTTGGAGAATAGCTCTCATGGCGTAAAAGTCATACATGTGAAAAAATTCGAATCGCTGATGTATTTATAGTTCGGCCTCAAGTCATGATTTTTAATGCAATTGCGCCAATATTTTTCATGAGGGTCGACCATGTAAGAATGCATCCACACACCAAATGTTTTAGTTCTGAAACTAATGCTTTTGAGAATAGCTCTCATGGCGTAAAAGTCATGTATGTGAAAAAATTCGAATCGCTGATGTATTTATAGTTCGGCCTCAAGTCATGATTTTTTTATACAATTGCGCCTCTTTTTTTTTTCATGAGGGTCGACCAAGTAAGAATGCATCCACACACCAAATATTTTTTTTTCTGAGATTAATACTTTTCAGAATTGCTCTCATGGCGTAAAAGTCATGCATGTGAAAAAGTTCGAATCACTGATGTATTTATAGTTCGGCCTCAAGTCATGATTTTTGATGCAATTTTGTCAAGTTTTTTTTATGAAGGTCGACCATGTAAGAATGCATCCACACACCAAATGTTTTAGTTCTGAAACTAATACTTTGGAGACTAGCTCTCATGGCGTAAAAGTCATGTATGTGAAAAAGTTCGAATCGCTGATGTATTTATAGTTCGGCCTCAAGTCATGATTTTTTATGCAATTGCACCAATATTTTTCATGAGGGTCGACCATGTAAGAATGCATCCACACACCAAATATTGTTTTAGTTCTGAAACTAATGCTTTGGAGAATAGCTCTCATGGCGTAAAAGTCATGCATGTGAAAAAATTCGAATCGCTGATGTATTTTTAGTTCGGCCTCAAGTCATGATTTTTGATGCAATTGCGCCAATATTTTTCATGAGGGTCGACCATGTAAGAATGCATCCGAAACACCAAATGTTTTAGTTCTGAAACTAATACTTTGGAGAATAGCTCTCTTGGCGTAAAAGTCATGCATGTGAAAAAATTCGAATCGCTGATGTATTTATAGTTCGGCCTCAAGTCATGATCTTTCATGCAATTGCGCCAATATTTTTCATGAGGGTCGACCATGTAAGAATGCATCCACACACCAAATGTTTTAGTTCTGAAGCTAATACTTTGGAGAATAGCTCTCTTGGCGTAAAAGTCATGTATGTGAAAAAATTCGAATCGCTGATGTATTTATAGTTCGGCCTCAAGTCATGATTTTTGATGCAATTGCGCCAATATTTTTCATGAGGGTCGACCATGTAAGAATGCATCCACACACCAAATGTTTTAGTTCTGAAACTAATACTTTGGAGAC